GGAGACAGTAAATTTTGGGTCTAGCAAAGTGGGACCATGAATTGCATTCAAAGCTACCAATAGTGTATCACAGCCGTTCCTTTTACTACCAGAAAGATGATGATGAGAAGGAGGATGATCAAACAATAAAAAAATTTTAATTTAATCCTGCAAAAAGTAATAATAATAATAATCATAATCATAATTTGTTGGTAAAAATTTGTTTTTGGATTTTTTTTAATTAATCATGAAATAATAAAATAGGAATTGGCTTTTGGACTTTTGTTACCGTTGGGATTTGAACATTTTTGAAGTGGTGGTCTGGCGGAAGTTTGCAGGGTGCTTGAAGGAATCTCTACTGGGTTGGTATGACAAGATTGCCCTTGGTTATGTAGGATATATTGCTATATTATTAAGGTTAAAATTGTCCACTCATGTAATTTTGATAATTATTTTCATTCATGGACATAATCCGAAGAGAAAAAAATTTGATTCGAAACTAAAATTTTTATTTCTCTTTAAAATTCTTTAACTGTTAGATCATGAAATTAAAAATTTTTATGCACTTTTAATAAATTTGGTTGTGAAAAAATCAACTTTAAAATTTTAAATAAAGATAATTTGAGATAAAATTAAGTTTAGATAAAATTTTAAAAAGAAAGCAAAGATCGTTCGAGATGAAATTAAGTTTGAATAAATTTTGATGATATTTCTTAATTATTTTTACAAAAGTGATTAAAAAGTTGTAAAAATTAAATATTTTTCAAATTCTAATCTTCGAAAAAATAATGTGACATATTTATATGTCATATAACATCAAATACAATATTAATTGGCACATTGAGGGAGAAATTTTTAATATATCCCATAAAAAAAATGAATGAATATAAAGAATTATTAACATTTTTTTTGGTATGTTCTTGCTAAAAGTATGATTCTATATAACCTAAATTTTAAGGTAGAAGGAAGATACTTGTAGTCTGGCCCCCAATTCTATCAACCCAAAACTAAGCTTCAAGCTCTTCAGCCAGCACATAAATTTAAACCAACCTACATTATTGATTCTTTTATATGCTATCCATAAGATAACAATGGTTGGATACTAAACTTATAACAATTTATGTTAGATTGTTGGATTCGATACATTTTATTTTGATCTAAGAAATTAAATAATCTATTTATTTTAATTTTTTTTTTACAAAAAAAATGGTTGGATAGTGTCAATGATGCTAATATAAAATTGGGAAGAAAAAAGAAGTATATATGTCTTTTAAAATAGGAGAAACTTCATTGAAATTTGAGATGCATATTGGGTTTTTCCATGGACTTGGTCTTACTTATTTAAAAATTGCATGCTTTCCACATATAGATAATAAAATAATTAAAATGATAATGTTATTTATGCTTGTATTTTTCTTTTATACTATTAAGCCCACATAATGATTCATTAGTAAGACTTACATTTAAGAGTATATGTAATGTTAAGAAAAATGATTTAATAGATAGTTAATCGAGTTTTTAAATTTTATTAACGAAATTATAAAATATTATCAGATAAACTTATTTGATAAATAAAAAACATGTGATAATAATTTAATTTCGTTCATAAAATCTAAAACTTATATTAATCTGATAAATATTATTTGATAAAAATATTATATCAAAAAAATTATCAATAGAGCAACCAAAACATTTGTGTCTTTCTTTTTCTCATACCTAAAGCAAATTATAAAAAAAAAATCCAACCTTTTACTCTACTACACCAATAAATAAAAAAAAATTTCTCTCTTTGCTTCATTTGGGTGTCAAGAAATTTTTTTTTCACTTTAATTATAGTATAAAAACCTTTGGATCAGTCCATCTTTGATTTGGTGAAAATTATTAAAACAAAAATAAATAAATAAATAAAGTTGCCATCACACATGGGAAAAAGTTGGTTGGCATATCCCTTTGGTTTTTGGTACTCAACTTCATTCTTTGTGGTCCTTTTTTCTCCCTATACCAGGCTTCTTCTTTACCCATGTTTTTTTATCCCAAGCTTGTTGCATTAACTCACTACTTTCCTTTGAAAAAGATTGTTTTCAAGGATTTGTGCTATTTGGTCACTTTTCAGCTTGAACATACCCCAAATCTCTGACGAATTTTCTTTACCTAATAGAAAAAATGACTTGACATCTTTCTCTTCCAAATTTGTTTGATGTTCATGGCTTGCCTCTTTTTGGTAATCTGTTATCATCACTCTAAGAACATTTTTGTTGGTTGCATTCGATCATGATTGATGAACAATTCGTTATTTACCCTGTTAGATGTATTATACATTGTAAGATCATATGTTTTTAATTTAATGATCATGTATGTATACACATTTTTATATTAAGTTATTAAGAATCGATAACGATCGATCATTTTAAGATTATATTCGTTATCCCATTTCAAATCAAGGATTAAGTTTTAAATCTTCATTTTTTTTGTTCTTTTACCCTTTACGTATGGATATAAAAAGCAACAAAAAAAAATTTATCGCAAAATTTCAACTTCTTATTCTTTGAAATTTCATTGATTTTTATATGATTCAAACATGACACTATGAAGCATGTTATTAATAAAGTGATAATACATATGAACTCAATGTGAACCAACAAAGCCAGCCTTTGCATGTGAACAAATAAGTTGGAATTTGACTTAATGGAATTGCCTCTTTCCCAAGCAAAAATTATCCTCCTCGAATATTTCTGCTTTAACTTAAGATAATGAAAGCTTGGAAAATCATTTTTCTCCTGCAATTCTTGGTTAAATGCATGGTGAAAACATTAAATAATTAAGCTGTTAGGTGTGAAGAATTATACCATTGGAAAATTGTTTGGTACACTGAGAAATAAATGTTGGGAAATGAAGTTGATGATCACCAATTAAATTCACCTGATAACCCATTTTTATTTATTACAAATCCTTCTATAATTAAATTTATTTATTTATATATATATATATATATATATATATATAACACCAGTTGATGAGATCTATGTCTGTTTGCATGGTCTGAATTGCAACAAGCATTTACTATTTGTTTGTATGCTTCTTGTCACTATGTTCTTTTGGCTTAATCAATAATTTATCCATCAAACTTGTGTACCATAAGATTAATTAACTCCTTAATTTAATCAGTGAAATAAACCCCATTAAGCCTTGAAGCTGCAGCTTTTATCAGTTTCACATTTTCGGTTAATCCGAGAGATTAGTACTTCATTTGGATAGTGAGAAGGTTCAGTGATAAAATAACGGTGCAGGAAAAATCTCTTTCATCGGCCGTCCAAATGAAGCTTAGATTCTAATCTTGTATGTCTAATATTTATACATTGTGTCTTGGATGCCTTTTGTTAAGCACATGGCAGGTGATTAGAGCATGATTAACCTAATTGGTTTAATTAATTAAGCAGCCGGTTCGGATTAAACATATGTTTGACAGGTTAATCCAAGTTTTTAGACTACAAATTTTGGATGGGAGGCCTGCAGGAAAAAAAAATTGAAAGAATGTTTTTCAAGGTATGAGAGTAGGACATTGAAAGCAACCTTGTTTCTAAATCACATCATTAAATTATAACTTAGGATGGTGCTCTGTCAGCTAAAATGTATCAGAAAATGTCACATTCTGCTGCATTTCTTATACTACAGATGTGCCCCATTCAGGGCTCATTCAAAACCCAATATTTTAGGATACTTTCCTCTTAAGTTTGTTAGTCTTAAATTTGTCTTATAGTGAAATATTGGTAGGCAAAACCAGTTTTAAAAAAAAAAAAACATAAGTATGCCTCTTTTCTTCCTTTTGCTAGAGTTGTCAACTTCATCATTAGTCACCCAAATCTTCTCTTTATTGGCCACTTGGATTTATTTTGGGTGTATTTATGGTCATATTCATCTTGCAAATAAGCTTGTAATTGTTCTTACAACTTATAAAATAATGTAAATATATACAACCGAAAATTTAATTTAATGATTGACATATGATTTTTTTGATTAAAAATAGGATTCAAATTTTTTTTAAATTAAAAAATAAATATATGTAGCTTATCCACAAGGAATTTTTTGCTATATACTAAAAGGAGAGAGAAATGCTCATGAAAAATTGAATCTCATAATATTAACTACCCAAATAAAATACTTGTAGCTTATTGAGCCTAATCATTAGGCTTATTGGACTCTAGTTGAACCAAAATATTATAAGACTAATGCATGATTTGTAAGATTCCCTAGCTTAATAATGGATTACCAAGTGCCAACTTGTTCAAAGTTTAATGGACCTACTGGACTTATTAATTATATCCAAAATATAAAAAATTCAGTCAATGAGCCCTTTGGATTGTAATATTTGATCAAGTGAAAGTAAATTGCTCCAAGTTATTAGGAGGAAAAGGATAAGTTAGAGTATAGCTTGTTGTAAGAAACAAAAAGAAAAAGTTAGAATGAGAAATGATTGCATCCACATTCTTCTTCTAAAATCATGATGGAGCCATGAATTTTTATTATTATTGCAGATATTTCTACATTCTTGTACTGGAATTATGCTAAAAACTTAAGGACTGGCTATTACGGTTGACTGAAAAATGAACAGGAACATGGACAAAGTGTTATTGGCCTGAAGATTGGACTTCAGGACTTCAAGATAAGGCATTAAAGAACGTTGACTTGAGGTAATAATCCATACATTTTTTTTATTGTTTCAATTAGCTCTTTATATGATGATGTTTCCTTAAAAAAATGCAGTAAATACAAAGGAAGTCACGTTTTCCATTGGTTAAAAACTGCATGCTCAGGTCTGGCATAGTTCATATCCTGTTTTAGCAGGCTCCCAATATTTTTTATGCATGTTTCATTCTTGAAGATTCTGACCTAACCTTTAGATTTTCAGGCATATTTAGGTGGTTGGTGATGCTTATGATGTAGTCCTCAATGGTTTCAAATAGGCTGTATTTACTGTAATTGAACTCCAGTCCTCCTATAAAATGAACAGTAAGCACAGGGTTTGAAACTTAATGTCTGGGAGAATTGAATAATACCAATTCTTAATTGTTTGTTTGTTGGTTGATTAAGAATTTTTTACATTAAAAGCAACTTGATCCTTCTTCTCTGCAATTCATTTCAGATAATTGATCAGGCCTATATTCTTACATGGTCTCATGCTGTCATATATCACATAAAAGTTTTCATTATGTCAAGATTATCATGTTCATTCACTCTGAATTTTTGCCAACTGCATCTTCAGGAGTATCAGTATGCAAAGGATTTCTAGGAATTCTAATCTCTAGGATCACGTCGTTACTCAGGTATGCCTCTAATCTTCTCCAATCTGCATCTTCTGGCAGTTCAAGCCTCCTTACATATCCATATTCCCACCAATTGCAGCTTCTCCAATCCTTTGTCTTGGATTCTCTTTGCTGCTTTAGTTGTCCACTAATTTCCACAGTTTTCCCTTTTTCGACATGGATTTGTCCATTTGTTTTCCCCACTCCTGCTTCAATCATCAAACCAAAACCATCATTGATCAGTCATGACAAAATAAACAACCACTAAATCCATGGAGTCTTGGCCTTATTTCCATGCTCAGCTTCATCTTATTTTTCCCATTTTCTGGAACCAAAATGTTTCGAAACAAGGTTCCTTGTTTTTCAGGGCACAGAAAGCTGCAAGTTATGGAATAATACCTCCACTACTTAGGTTCATATACATGTAGGACCATTACATTTACATTCTAACATCAGAATGCTTAAAGGGGTGCTCAAAAACACTTACCTGGTAGTTCTGCTTTAAGTACATAAGCCTGATCTGTCTGAAACCAATCCACTGAGCTCTTGCCAGAGTTTCTTAGATTAGATAATAAGCTCTCTGATTCAAAATCCCACAGAGGAAAGGCATCTGACGGATCAAAGAAATTTCCAAACAACAAGGGACTAAACAGTGATCCTTCTCCAAACACCTTATGCACTGTTGGACTACCCTGGGAGAGAAACCTCTTGAATACGTCTTCGGCTAACGAAATGCACCATTTCTGAGGAGTTTGATCTTCTGTTTCAACTTCAAGTTTAATGCAACTACTCATTTGCAAAATTATAACCAAAAGAATGTTATGAGTTCAGAATTTTTCTGGGAGAGAGCTTTGTGGGGTTTGGCATCTTATAGTGTGAGTGACTCCTTAGAGAAAGGAGAGAACAAATTCCCTGGGAATATTTTGAAGAGTGTAAAGCAAAAAACAAAAAGAATCATTCTCTTTTGGACAGTACTCACCGGTGAGAAGGAACTGTGACTGGTAGACTAGGCATGAATTTGATGCTTTCTGGTGACCATAGAAAAATCAGTATAGAAGATGAGGCAAAATGATTATCCTTTTGCTGAGAATCTTAAGTAGGTTTCTGGCAAGATTTGTAAAACCATCTATTCTTGATGTTATGTTCTCCACTCAATTTCAACAACAAACATTGCATAATTTTCATAGTTTCCATATTTTTCTAAAAGAGAAATTAAGACCTTAGATAATATAACAGCTACCAAGTTTGTTCAGAAGAATACAGACAGGAGACCTTAATCGAAAAAACTAGTCTACTCAAGTTCTTCTGTTCCGTTATTCTGACAATAATTTGAGTAGAATCTTATGTTAGATTTAGAACATTAGTCCTTATTCTTTTCGTGGATGAAAAGCACAAAAACATGATTGTGCAATCACCCAAATTCTCAAGGTTATAGTATAGAAACAGTTATCATAGTCAGGCATGGTGGAAAAAACTGTAGACTTGGAGTCCAAGTAAAGAGTCCTTAGAGGAGGCTCAGTATCTCATGGTCCCAAAAGGAAACCTTGTATTTTGCACATAGAGTTTGACTTGATACATGTAAGTATTACACCATTTTCACTCCTAACATCTTTTATAGGATAAAACTAACCGTAATTAACAATACCATACAAATTGGTATGTACCATAACTCAGTTTCACTATTAATCAATTTTGTCGATATATATATATTTGATCCTATTCCGGTTTCCATCAATTTGATATGCATGAATAGACAGGTTAAGAACACTATGAAATGATGCAAAGGTGTGTGAAAGGAATATTTTTTAAAGTTTCATTGGATGTCAGCCGTCTAGGTCCGTTTTACCTCTTTATGTTCAGGCTTTTTCTCATCTTTTTTTAGTGGCAATAAATATTTTGACGGCAAATGCATCTGGCTTCGGCATCTGTTAGGACCTACTTTTCCTTGAAGAAGAATCGGTGTCTTCTGTCATAGATGTTTGAATTTTTAGCTGTGGAAATGCTGCAGCCACTTCAGATATTGGAATATAGCCACATATTAAAGCCTTTCCTCACTCAAGATTTATGCTGTTTGTTTAATGATGGTGCTGATCTTCCACTCTCAATCTTGGAAAAATTTGAGACCCAAGTTTGTTATTCCTTCACTGAATAGGAATATAACATGATCTTATCTAGTTTGCAGCCATACCTGGCAAAATGCAGCTATAATAAACCTTTACCCTATGTTTGGTAGGAAGGATCAAAACTGGAAAGATAAAAAGCTTTTACTTCATTTCAGTCCCTTTCCATCCTTCCTACCAAACAAAATAATTCTTATGTACTCAGAACGAGAATTGTCGATATCAAAATTTCTTCCCTTTAAAATTTATAGACAGTAAAGCAGTTTCTAATTTCAACACTAACAGGATAAATATTCTCTCAAATCAAAATTATCAACAGAGACTTTATTAACAAAGAATTATAAATTTTTAAAAAAATGAAGGCATCTCTACATCTAAGTAATCTAACTATTAATGCACAAGTTGGGAAGATGAAGGTAATCAACAAGAACCATGAATCCAATACCAAAGGAAGGTCAGCTGCAGTTTGTGATGTTAGTAGCTCCATAGAAATCTAGAATTGAAGAGCCAATGCCAATCGCTTAACCCCTTTCTGCTGGTACTTCATACGTATTCCTTTAATTAAATAATTTTGGCACCGATGCTTTGGGGCTTCACATCTTGATCAACTGCCAAGGTAACATCATCTGAGGAAAAACAGAACTTAGATATCACCAGCAACACAATCTATGGCACATATATGTCTCAGTATTAAATTTCAGCATATAACGTGGCAAGGTAAAAGATTTGCTTGACAAGGATAAGAACAGCATACCTTCTTCAAATAAGCACTATTAATTCTCGTCATCTGAACTAGAACTAGAATCTTCCATCCTTCGCTCAGCAATTGCAGGAAAAAGCTTCTGACGAGGATCAGGAGAAGGTTGTTCAAAACGAGACTCAGAGGAAGATGATGCATTCAATACCTGTTTGTTATGTGCTTTTACCGGCTTCCATGGGGCATCTCTGACCTCTTTGCACACCTTATCCAAAATTATCAAAAAATCCCGTACAATGACAAACAATCGTAAGCCCTCATCCTTCTGTACATTACCATGAAAATAATCACCGGTGCTCTTCACCAAAGCCATTATTCTCTTCTCTTCCTTGAGCAACGACATGACATCAACCTCTGCATTCTGCACAAAACTCTTTAATGTTTCGTGAAAACCACTTTCTTCCTCTGTACTTTTCATCTCTGAGTTCAAGAAATCACGTGTTTTTAGCAGTGCATGGCCAAGTTTGGCAACAGTTCCTGTTAAGCTTTCAGCATCAAGAGCTGCCGCTTTCTTTACATTTTCAAGTTCACTACTCAAACGTGAAACCACCTGAAGACCAAGGCTACGGTAGTGCTCTTCTGTATCAGGGGAAACATCCTCAAGAAGATCATCGGATTTTATGCTGTTAAAACTTTTGCTTTCTCTTGCAACACGGGCAGCTCTCAAACCTTCAGTGCGTATTATTTCTTGGACAACAAAGTGCAAAAGTGTTGTCTTGCCATCTACTCCTTTAACATCTGATAACTTCAAAAGTGTGTCAAGTTTGAAAGCTTGTGCACCACCACGGAATGTCCCATCATTCATGCGATTTCCAGTTTTAAGGACAGCTTCTAATAGCTTGAGGAATAGGCGGCTACTTCTGAGTTCCTTGCAACCAACCTGCCAAAATAGGAAAGAGACTTAATTTGATTGAATAAAACATCATGGAAGAGTATTTCTTTTTCCATGAAAATATACATCCTTAAAATTACATTGTGTTGACTATCTAAAAAATGTTTTTGATGTATGATATACCTTGTATGAATTACTGGACCTAAATATTGATCATGCAATTCATACAATTTAAAATCTAATAACCCACCTCTAAGGTTGCGAAGGACTCTCTAGTGAAAGTAACCTCCTCATGAAGAGTGCACATAAAAAGCAGTGCTTCCATTCGTTTAAAAGCAAAAGGGATGTCAATCAAGACTTTTAGGAACCGCTCAGCAGGACCAATTTGAGAAATTTCACCACTGAACAATCTAAGTTTGAGTTCTTCATCTGCCGTCGGTGCCATCTTCAATAAGGTTTGAAGGAGTTCAACAGGGAGCTCATTTCCTGATTTCAAAAGAACAGGTTAGTATATCATGATTGAAAACTAAACACTTTTTTTTTTTGCCAATAAAACTAAGCACATTAGTACTACCCTTTTTTATACCCAAAAAAAAAAAAAAGAAACACAGTAATACATAAATTCAACAATTGAGAGACAAGAATCAAGATAGAGTAACAGCATTGAGCCCATTGAACACATGCTTGATCAATTAAATAAAGTTTCTTGAAGCTCTCTCAGTTATGAAATGCTCCCTTTTAAGATATTTAAGAAATCAGAAACAAGATTTCAGTATATTAGTACTAAGATTAGTCCATAAATCATTACAAGTTCAGGACAATTGTCATCCATGGCCTCTGGAGAAAGGCCTGCAATGCATTGTCCACATCTTTATATTACAATAGCTAGAAGTAAATACCCCAAACCCTCCTTCCCCACCCCAACATAATAAATAAACAAACAGATATGCACACATATACACAGAGTGAGCGAGAGGAGCACTACCCTTTTCGGATACTAAGAGCTAAACTAGAGGTTTTCAAACAAGTATCTTTGGTTCAAGGGAAACCAATGTAGTTATTTGGCAATTAATAATATCACACTTTAAACAAGCTTTAGGAACCCGTGTTGTAATAATTTTCCATTTTACTGGAATGAACCTATGTCTATTTCCTCTAAACCTCAATAGTGTTTGACTATGATGAAAAAGCAAATGATGTGGTTAATTGGTTGGAGTGCAATATTCCAGCTATGTTATATTCAAATAAAAATGTTAATTCATAGCATAGAAAAGCTTGGTCAGTATGACAACTCCTTCCTCCTTGACCCAAAACCGAATAGAGCAGGAGAAAAACCCTTCAGACTACACTATCACATACTGTTAGCTTCAACTAAATGTTCATGTGCGACATTATTCAGGCATTAGCATAACCATAGTCAAGGTAGATATATAAAATATGGCAACTGAGTTTCTTTTTCAAGATGAGGTATAATTTATGAAAAATCAAAAGGAATCAACTAATAGCAAAATATATAGAAAATTTTCAGATTCCATCGACGATAGTGCTACTTTCAAGGATCAATAACTGGTATAAGTAAATGCTCTATTGAATTCTTGCTTAATTATCAACAATTATCCACCAGTAGTTGAAAGCAAGGACATTATAATTACTGGTGAAAATGCTTGTAAGCCTAACTGCTGGAGCATATCACCTACAATTAGTGTAGCACAACTAACCAAACATAATTCAGCATTGTTGGGGTCTATCAAAAAATTATGTAGAGCCCACAGTTTTAAGTAGTGGACCCCTACATAATTCTTGATTGGTGATTGGCTAATTGTAGGATTGTAGTAAAGAGAATAGTAGGTGACATGGATCCCTAATTTCTGAGCATGCGTCACTCATAGACATGTATGCCAGACAAGCATCTGACTGGAGCAATGGTTCACAAACCTATGCATAGGTTGCCCAAAAGCACATTTTGAAAGGATAAATAAGGAGGAAATCACCTTCACGAAGTGCATCACAAACTTCTTCTGTGGTCACATTCAATGCCCGCAAAAGGATTGCTAAATTTTGTGATTTCTTGTGGTCAAGGAGTTGAATATATTGAGGCACAGGATCCTGTGTAGAGGGCTCTTTCTTTCTATTATTTTTGTTCTTGTCAACAGGTGCATACCCAAACAGAGTTTCTATCATCTCCTCATTGAACCTGCAAAGGTAGTATCAAGTATCCCATACTTATCCATTGGCATCAAGAGTAAATGGAAAAACAAGAAATGAATTGTTACGTACTGGAATGATCCAGATTTAATCTGATTCCACACCATTGAATGATCAGGGTTGGCTGCAACTTTATCCCAGAAAAATGGCTTAAGTTTGGCTTTAGGAGCATTGGCATCATCCCCTGAGCCAGATCCCTCGCCAGTGATAGCATTTGGTGTTCGTTGTGGTACACTTGGTGGTCGAGGCATCTTTGAACCTAAGGGCATTGATGGAGGTGGCCTAGGAGGAACGAGACCAGTACTTGAAGGAGCTGGTGGGCGAGGACCAGATTTGGCACTAGGAGGTATAGGTGGCGGAGGAGGACCAGGAGGTCGGAGGCCTACATTGGCAGAAGCAGGTTTCATAGAGGGAGGTGGTGCAGGAGGTGGTGGAGGAGGACTGGCCCTAATTGGGGCAGGAGGTTCAGGAGGGAGAGGATCTGCTCTGCCAGGAGGAGACTTCAAAGGAGGTAATCCAGCTGGTGAAGTACCCACCCTTCCTGGAGGCAGTGGTAGCCGAGAATTAGTTTTGCCTGATGTATCAGAAGATTCAGCTGATGCTTTGGTGGCACCAGCAACAGCTCCAAATGATGACTTTCCATCCAAGGAGATTGGAAGAGCATTAGCTTCAATGTAAGCATTGCCATTGGTTGAAGCCTTTTTATGTAGGCTTGATTCATTACCAAATGATTGGTGACCGAGCTTCTCTTCTTTATCAGATCCAACAGCATATGCATGAGAAGAACCTGGAAAAAAAAGTTTTGATTAAAATTTGTCAAAAGCTTCTAGACAACATCAGCTTGTGGGAAAGTATATATCACCAGAGAAGTCACTTAAGCTTAAACTGAGAAGGGGGCTTTCATCATTTTGCTTAGCTTCAGAATCTCTACGACAGCATAAAAAGAAGAACAATGCTGCAACAACAGAGGTTACTACCGCAGTCACAACACAAGCAACAATAATTGTTTTACTGTTATCAGTCCCTTTGCTTTCTGAATCTCTGTTGGGAGGACTTAAATTGTCCAAAGGATCATTTATCGGAGATGCAGCTTGTTGAGAAGGTCTAGGAAGTGGAGAGGGTAAAGATGCTGGACTTTGCAATGGATTTGGAATAAAATCAGGAGATTCAGAAGCAGGAGAAGGGGCTGGAGCAGGTGATGGTGATGGTGATGGAGATGGGGATGGGCCTAAGTTCAAGGCAGGGGCTACTGCAATGCTCTGAGTAGCTAAAGTCCTTCTAGGGATGTCAGGCCAGCGAAACAATGACTCAAAATATCTATTGTACCAATTCTTAAAGCCACTATCTTCTCCGGATACTTGGAATAGAAGATTATTCTTTCTTATGCAGTCAGAAAGAGCTTGCTTTAACTGGGGATGGAGAACATTAATCAATTTCTGAATGTTTTCTTTTGCTAATGAGCGACATTTTGTATTGATATCATTGGTTGAACTGGGTTTTGTATTGATGTCATTGGTTGAACTGGGTATTTCCTCCAGAAGATGTAACTTGGGATCTTCAAAAGCTTCCTTTAAACCATTCAAATCCTGTCTGCAAGTTATCCATAACAACTCAACCTGCATGTAAACAAATTAATAATTTTAAACAATGTTGTAGCAAAGGGAAAGAGGACGTAGTTCCTACTTCCTAAACCTACAGAAACCAAAACCATCTTAATGTCCTATCCTATTGACTGAAAATTACTAGGTACTCATTGTTAACATCAGGTGCAACTGTTAACCTTTTGAATAATGATTGTCACTACCTATCGAATATTTTCACCAATCTATGTTGTCAATATCCAATGTTGCTTTCATCATCAACTGGTATAACAAGTTTTAAAAACATTATGAAACAACATATTTCAAGAAGACAATTCAGAGTGCACCTTAATTTCAGCAATACTAAATGGACCCAAAAAAGTCGAACACCAAATGCCCCTTCTATTTCTCAAAAGTTTACTATGCACTATCCATCCATATAGGCAAGCTACTGGTATAGTCAAAAACTCTCTAATTCCAGCAGATATTTCAATGCATTAGTGCATAATGCTCCCACATATTTCCACCTCTAATGTTAGTTCTCTTTCCCCGCTTCCAACCAACTTATAAGCACACTTCATAGATAAACAATACAGAAAATTACCAAAACTACCTTAACACCTCTAAGTAATGATTAAAAAATCATTAAATATTACAAAAGTTAAAATGCTTGAGTCAATGGCAAGTATGGTTCCAACATATTCTCGGGGTTTCATTAAACATGCTGTCAACCATTTCTACCCCAACAATAAAAGGTTAAAAGTACAATAAAAGGCTAAAAGCATGGTTTCAGTGAATATGAACTATTTGCTAATAAACAAATCCATAATTGCTTTAAATCCATAAAAACTTTGTTCAAGTAAATGAATTGCAGACAATGGGCATTAAAGTAAACAAAACCAATCACATAAGCAAATTGCTTCTTACAAAGAAGTTTATACAAGCAAATGAATTGAACTTAAGAGCAAACAAGCAAAGTAATCTCCTTTACCAGATTCTCATCAATCTTCCCAGTTGCTGGATCTACTAACTGGTTAAGATATGCTTCTTCTCCGTCCTTCCTGTAATCTAAGCTGACAGCCAATGATAGACAAAGCAGAATTACCAAAAACCCCAAACTATATGATCTTATGACACCCATTTGGCCTTGTATCATCAGCATCATCACAAGCACAAAATGGACTCCTTTTCATTTCATCAATAACCAAAACCCCTCACCACCAACACAACACAACACAACACAACCCAAAACCCTACCGAAATCTATCATGAAAAGTTCAAACTTGTAACATTTGTCACCGACTCAACTCAATTTTCCATCAAAAGAACCCTTCAAATCTGCTAAAAAAAGCCGATTTTCCTCAAAAACTTAATGAAAGATGGAAACTTGGAATCAGAACTCGAAAACCAAACAAAACCCAGAATTTATCTTCCCCTGGAAAGCCAAAAAATAGGATCAAAACCAAATTTTGAAACAAAAACCCAAAAAGCCAGAAAGGATATGATGAATAGAGCTTAAAAAAGAGCTCAAAAGAAAGAAAAAAAAAATTTCAAATCTTTTCCTTTTAACTTTACCAACCTTTTCTATTAGTAATTGAAAAATCCTAAAATGTGAACAATTGAAAAAGACAATTATGGGGCCTTTTATTATGACTAGATCCAATCAATGGCAACTCATTGGAAAAAAAAAAGGAAAAAAACATTTGCTGTTAAATCCATGTAAAAAAGTTGACCAGGAAAATTCCTACAATGAGCTGACAACATAGATTTTTTTTCCCTTTTCGCTCCCCTTTTTATTTTTCTTGTTTTTGTTATTTTTATTTGTTATTTTAATTTTTCTTGGGGTTTCAAATGGAAATTTGGTAAAGAAAGAGGAAAAAAAAGCTGTCTATTGGAGGGCATTTTAGAGATTTAGGATTTAGTGGAGTAATTAAGTTTCTGTTTTGACAGGTTAACAACACCTGGAGAAAAAAAAATCCTTTTATGATTAATGATAATTATTAGTAGTTGTTTTGGAAGGATAAGTTTGTTATTTTTTTAAAAATAAAGATTAGTTTATTTAAAAACAATTTAAACGAACAAGATAACTTTGTCTTTCCAATCTAATATGAAATATATTAGATTATTCAAAAAAATGAAATATTAATATAATATTTAATTTAATTAATTCATGTAATCAATATTAAGGTATTATTTAATATTAATTTCAAGATATGAGAGTAATTAAATTTGATTTATTATTAAAGTAATTTTATCATTCATAATTTTAAATTATTTTATTTTGTTAACAATTATTAGTTTTGAAGAATTAAATATTATATGTTACTAAAAATCAAATATTATTTATTTAAAAATATCAAAATAATTATACATATTATAATAATTACACAAATTAATGATTTTATATTATTTAAAGATAACAATTTATAAAATATTTTATAATAAAATATAATTAAATCATTGAATCAATAAATAAATTTATTGCAAGATAAATTAATTTTTATAATATAAATTAAATAAAAATTTATGAATTATAAAATAAAATTAATCTATTAAAATCATTAAAAAATATATTATATATAAAAAGTTTTTTTTTTAAAGCACACAATTCTTTTTAACTTATTACAATAAATATTTGCTTGAAAATATAAAATAATTATAATTTTGATACAAAAAAAGTTTTTTAAGTTGAGAAAGCAAGTTTTTAATTTGCATATTGAATGGGTAACATTAACTATTATTAAGTTTGTATATCACTTCATATCGATAATAAAATTTTTATACATTTGGATAAAAATTAAATTACCTTTTAAAATGTGATCAATTTATTTTTAACTATCTAAGATCATTGTCATATAAGATTATCGAGTACTTAATAAACATAATAATCTAATTATCACGTGTAAATCATTATCATTTTTATGATGATTAGTGTGAATTTTAAATCTTAATACGTACAATCATTATCTCTACTTGCAAACTACAACTTTTTTATATCAAAAAATTATTAAATATTTTAGATAATAATTAATAATTATTGATTTTTTGTTTTATTAATATTTAATAAGAAAAAATATAATAACATATATGTCTATTTTCATCAATAAAAGAATGATATATTTTATATAAATTATAAATAAAAACATATAATGCCATTTTATTTGTTCAAATACAATATATATTTTAAATTTTGTACTTTTAAGAATATGATTTTTTTTCCATTATTACAAAGACATTTATGTCCTACTTTGTGTAAGTGAAATGACTATAATAACCCCTTTATTCCTTGACTATGATTGGTAATGTTTTGTGTTTAATCAAAACATTGTTCTTTATCTCATTATTGTATAAGACATTGTGTACCGTGTTACAAGAGAAAAGTTGAACCAAATCCATCATGTTTCCCAAATTGTCAAGAGATTCAAAAGTCTTCCATTTTATATATCCACTATAAATATGCTATAATTTTGTGAATATTATTTAATAAATAAATAAATAAATTATCATCACCTATTCTTTATAAAAGAATTAATATTTTTAAATATATAAAATTAACAATTATGTGATCAATTGATAAAGTAATGAATTCATATAAAAAAATAATTAAAGTATTTCATTTCTAATCTTAGTTAAGTAATCATTTTGGATTTATTCAAATTTAACAATCTTCTTTTATTTATTTAAGTGGATTAATGAAGGGGATATATATTTCTAATTTCTAGAAAAAGAATCATGATTTCAATGTTTCATTAAGAAATGTCAAAGTTAAGTCTTGACCTTATTTCTTAGCAATGACCTCATTCCTTTGCAATTTCATAAGACAAAATGCTAAGATGTTCTAGTAATTTGGAAGCTACGCGTTTGACTATTAAAAATATCATTTTCATTTTTTGTTTTGTTTTGTTTCTTCTCTGTTAAGCAATTTTTTTTTTTTTTTACTATTTGTGGACGCGTTTGGCCTTGGGAACATCATTTATAATTGTCAAAATGGGGCTTTCTCTCCCTTTTCACTTTCAAAACCCAAGGACAAAGTTGTTGTCATTTAACTAGGGTTTACATCGTATCGAGTTCGGGATGAATTTTATTCGTTTAAAATTTAATTCAATTTTATGCGTTATTAAATTTTTAATTTTGATTTTATTTAAAATTTTTTATTTTTATATATTTAAATTTGAATTAAATTTGATACTATATAAATCGTATCTGATCTGATTCGATTCGAAATTAATAAAATATTATTTTTTAAATATAAATATTTAAAAATATCATTATATAAATATATATATAAATAAAAATTAAATAATTAATTAAAAAATAATTTTTTATATAATATCGGATCGAATTTACTTAAAACTTGAATCCGACCCGATCCAAAATTTAAATTTAAAAAAAAAAAATCGATCTCATAAGGTCGGATCGGATCAAAACCCATAAAAAACGAGTTAGATTGCCTTCCCTACATTTAACTACCATTATTTATTATAAAACAGTTTGGGAATTGAAAATGCAATCATAAATTAATGTTTTCCTAGTGTCTCAACCGCCCAAAAAGAAGATGCCATTACTATATATTTTTGCTTTAATTAATGATATGGTGAAAAAAAAAAACCTTATATTTTATTTTTTTTTCAAAAAAAAATTAAGAGTAAGGGAAGTTACCCATTTTTAAGGTCAGCATAAATTATTAATTCAAAAAAAAATTTACGAATCCTTTAAAATTTTTTGAATTTACTAAATCATCAACCAATAAAAAATTATGAAGGTTCGAATCTGAATATTTTACATTTAAACTCTAAATTTTCTATTTACATGAACTCCTATTAGACCTTTTGATATAGTCCTTATCACAATTACAAATGTTTTTAATTAACAATTTCATTATCTAACATTACATTGTATTTTTGGAAGGAAAAAAAAGAATTTGATATAGTTTTCATTTTCTTTTTTTTTTTGCTTCCAAAAAGATAATGTAATGTTAGATAATTTAATTGAAAACTTTTGCCGTTGTGGTAAGAAGCTTTTCTGAAAATGGTAATACTATTTTAATGATAATATTCATATCAATTTCAAATCCTTCACAAATAATAAATTTTTTATTGATAATTATCCATTTTTAATTATCCAAATCTATCATAAATAGATCGAATAATGACAAATATTTATTTATTTACTATCTATTGTCATCCTTAATTGGAGCCATCAAATATTTGTCTTGAATTCTTGTTGCCAGATAGAGTCCATTTCAGAGTTGGATATATAGGCAGATAATTATGTATAGAAGACAGAGGTGACAATAATGTATTTTATTGTCATTGTGTGTGTTCGAAAATCACACATGAATTCTTCCTCTCCATCCTCTCTGATTCTTCTTTGTTTTTCTTTTCCAATTCTTGTTCAGTTTTCAAGGGGCTGATCTTTTATGTTTTATCATTTCTTCAATGGTTCTTGTTTTAGGGGAAAGTTAAAAACAAAGGGTTTTGCTAAATGGACTCGCCTACATTTAAGGGACCTTTCCTACATGGATACCATGCATGCAGTGCAGGCCATGAAAACAGCACAACCTGTCCTTGCATAAGTCCCATTTTCTCGATGGCTATGGCTCCATAATATAGACTCTTTGGGTAAATCTTGTTTCAATAATTATTGCCTTCCGGCCCATTTAAATGGTTGCAGCTTGAATGGTAATGCTAATTGGGGATTTTGGGTTTTACTTTTGGGGTGACTGTGAGTTCGGCCCCCCACCATGCTATTCTTGATTTCTTGTTCCAAATAATTCTCACCTTACACTATCTTAATTAAAAAAAAAAAAAAAATCATGCCATGCACTACAAAGTCAACCTATTCAGACACATCATGAAATTCAAAAACCTGACAATTTCAACCAGATTTAGTGCTACATGTTCTCAACTGGCAACAAAACCGGAACAAGATTCTGAATCTCTCTAAGCAAGATCTTAAAAATCACTTCATCCTCAATTCCAATCATTTTTATAAAATCCCATGACAAGACAGACTTCTGTTAATACAAACATTAATCAAACACAGACAGGAAATTCGATCACTAAGGTCAGGAAAGCAACGACTTCAAATCGAGATATTGACTTCTTTTAAAATTTTAAATTGAAAACCTATCGAATTAATTATTAAATTAACTAATTAAATCACTTCCTTTAACCAATTATAATCAAAATCATACAAATCAATTTGGATCGATCAAGCGAGCTCAAACCAACTCACCTTTACAAATCTTCACAAAATCCAACAGCAAACTTTGATCAACACAAACACTAAACTAAAAATTAAAAATCAAAATTATTAATATCATTCTGAATAACATTTTTGTATAACTAAAACATATAAATCGATAGGAGCGATACTAAAACAAAATTAATAATTATATTGAAAACTACCACCCGGCAAATACCGTCGACAAACTACAATCCTCATTACATCTCAAATCAATGGCAATTATTATTCACAACCCAGCTTTATTGGAGTACCTAAGCTAACCGAATTCACTTGAAGTCTTTACCCTTTTCATAATATCCCACAAAGAACTTCAATTATTGCAAATATTAATTAAAACAAACAACAAAAAGCAATCATCAAGATCAAGAAAGCAACACAACACTGAAGTTGAAATATTGCATTCATGTCATCAATGACCAAGAAATAGAACAAAAATGAGTCACAACTCTTCTATCAAGCAAGTAGAAGATAATGATTAATTATATTCACATTAAACTAAAAACCCTAAAACTACCTAATAACTACGCACTGTCAACAAACTACAATTCCATAAAAAGACATTAAAAGACCTTCTTCTTCAAACCCTAAGCTCAATAAACTAATGAGACGGCAAGCAAAGCTAAAATCCAAGACGGTTCAATCTCAGAATCTGATCAAAGGATAGAGAGTGGAGATGGGTTTTTCTTTGGATCTGGGAATCTAAACTAACGTGATCTAATCCTCATCACCTCCAGACGCCTTGGAGGAGGTTCCGGCTTTCTTTGGGAGAAGGAGGTTGTGGATGTTGGGCATTACACCTCCATTGGCAATTGTCACGTCTCCGAGCAGCTTGCTAAGCTCCTCATCGTTCCTCACGGCAAGCTGGATATGTCGTGGCACAATTCGGGTTTTCTTGTTGTCTCTGGCTGCATTGCCGGCGAGCTCAAGAACCTGACATAACATACAATTTTCATTTAAAAAACAAACCTAAATGTTGAGTAAAAAGTTAATATGCTGTTTATGTGCAAAGGAACCCTAATTTCCTCCTAATTTTAGGGATTCAGATATCAAAATTTCTCAAAAATCAAAACTTTGAAATTAGTAGCAATATTTTGGGGAAAAAAAAACTAATTTTCAAGCCCAAAGAAAATGAAAAGATACTAATTTTTTTAAAAAATAAAGCACAGATCCGAAGATGAAACCCCAAATTTCATTAATATGTAATTAAAAACCCTTAATTTAGAACATAGATCAAGAATTTTAAAAAGGGAACTTACAAAAATTTTAAAGATCCCAAAATTTCCAACGAACAAAGTAGATTACAAAAGAAAATTGCAAAAAGCTTCTCATGAAATAAAATCAAATAAAATAATTTTTTTTTCAAAATTAAAGGGGAAAAATTCGAAACCCTAGATTAGGTTACAAACAAAATAAACACTTTCTTTAACAAAATTTGCCGATAATCCCCAAGAATTTAAAAAGAAAGTTATTGTACCTCGGCGGCAAGATATTCAAGAACAGCGGCGAGATAAACTGGAGCTCCAGCTCCAACACGTTCAGCATATTTCCCAGCCTTGAGGAACCGAGCGATACGACCCACCGGAAACTGAAGCCCAGCCTTGCTACTCCTCGATGTCGCCTTCTTCGACGCTCCTGATCCTAGAGTTTTGCCCCGACCCGCCATTTTAGACCCACAACGAACAAATCGAACTTCCAAAAAAAAAAAAATACAGAGACAAGCGCGTGGGTTTGCGTGGAATGGAGAAAGAGAGATAAAAGTGAAAGAACTGCCGGTTGTTTTGGGTTATATATAGTGGAGAGGGTAAAGGAATTAGCCAATGGGAAGAGACGACGCGGATCGAGAATGAAGACCGTTGGATGGTGATGAAAGAAACGGTTTAGATTTGAACCGAACACCGCTTCGGCTTTTTTGATTTGCGGTTTTGGCCTTTTTGGTTAGTTAAAATTTAAGGAGGGAAATTCAGTTTTTTTTTTTTTTCTTTTTTTTCGATTTTGGGATTTATGGATGACGTTATGACGAAAATGTCCTTGAGGAATTTTTGAATCTTTTTATTTGCACGGTTCGGGTTTTTTCTATCCAAAGTTGATTGAAAATTGACGTGGGTAGTAATTATAAAAGTGTTAATAATTTGGTTTTTATTAAATTAATTAATTGAGTTTATTTAATTTAATTAATCAACTAATTATTAAATTAATTTTGATTTTTTAATAAAATAATTTAAAAATATTTTTAATTTTTAGTTAATTCAATTCAAAAATCAAAATTAATTAAATTAATTGAAATTTTAATTAAAATATAATTAAATTCAAGGATAAAAAAATATGAAATAAATCATTTTATTTCATAAGTTGTTAGAGTTTTTAACATAATATTTTAATATTGAAAGTTTTGTTAGATAATTTTATTTATTTTGTTTAAAATATTATAAATTAAAAGTTTAAAATATAATTTAACTATTTATTATTAGGTTAATTGAAAAAAATTAACCAAATTGATCAAATTTAATTCAACTACCTAATTTTTAAAATTAATAAATTCGATTCAGTTAATAAAAATAAAATAATATAATTCGATTTTAGATAATTTAATTTAAAATTAATCAAACTAACCGAATATAAAAATTTAAATCATATTGTAATATTGATCCGACTTTTTTTTTAATCCATATTCAATATATATTCGATAAATATACGTACAAATATTTATTCTTCTAAAATATATAAAAAAAAAGTTCAGAAATTTTTACATACCCAAACACATATATAAATATATATTCTGTTTTTACTTCTAAATTCGAGTAAATTCAAGTAAATTTGAGTAACATAGGATTTAAGGGTCTCCTTGTAGTCCATGGCTACTTCCCTTTCCAAAGCTAAAAGTTGCAGGAAATAGAATGCAACAATTAACAAGCCATGTATGAAGCATGATATCCCTCCAACAAATAGAAAATGATGATGCAAAGCCTGGCATGACCCTTTTGATTTGGAATTCTCTAGCATTCCAATGACCAGGGTTGGAAATCCAATAGCTACTACAATCCTGATAATCAGCAGCAGAAATGTTTTAGTTTGGTTTCTGCTGCATTTAGAATAGCATTTAGAATACCAAAGCAATTAACCTGAATCCTTAATTAAGATTGAGAAATGGTGCTTGGTTTCTAAATCGATTCAGCTTTATGTATTTCATATGCATAAGAACACATACCAAGAAAGAATGAAGCACGCGAACCAGGATTGCCTCCTAGCAGATGATCTTTCAAGCTCTTCTGCGCAACAAATGCACATGAAGCCACCAAGCAAGTTTACAACAACATAGGATAAAGCTAGTAGAGCAGCTGCAACCAACTCAAGCTTGAAAGCTTGATCATTTTGCTGTTGGCAGTCAACTTGGCATTCAAATCTCTTTAGACTCATATATTCACCTGTTAAACATATAGTAATCCTTGATTCAGATATCATAAGTTTTCTAGTTCAATCTTTCATTTTCTTTGAGAAAATCAAAGAAAAAAGATCATGCACCTTGTCTTTGGTAATTTGATCAGCTTGAATGCTGAGAACACCAGCAGCTACATCCACAATAACAATCACAAGACAAACAAAAATACTGGCTTTTGTCATTTCCACAACCTCAAACCAAATAACAATGGGGGATTATAATGGTGAATTTAAGAAGGAAATAGGAGAAAACTAGAGACTTATAGAAAATTTCAATGAACAGGTCACAAAATAAAGGACAGCTGAGAAAGGGTAAAGTGATTATTAATACAAACCATACTTTTCTTTCCTTATTTACATAAAAGAAACTTACTGTGACAGAGAAATTATACCAACTTTTTTTCCCAACTACAAAATTCTTCTTTCTTTAACTTGTTTTTCTTCTTCTTTATCTCACTCATATCGATGATTTGGCGCCTTTAAGATCACCCCGGAAAGGGATTAGGTCAAAGGCAAAACTTGGGATATCTCCAACCGTATTGCAAAAAAGTGTATATATATGTACATGGCCTTTGCAGCAACTACCAAGGCCATAGTTTTAGCACATCAGTGAAAATCAAGTGCTCCAAATTGAAAAGCCTGTCAAACAATCTGCAATCATTTTAGGCATCCAGTAGCCTGCAAGTATGGTCACTTTACCCACCCCATTTTGAAAAATTTACAGACAAAGAATAAAAAACAATGATTGAATGCTAATGAAGAAGATGGGGTCTAATTTTATAGCATAAAAATCCCAGACAATCTTTTCTTGCTTGGAATTCAAGTAAGAATTCAATTTTTAGATCCACCATTCTCTATTTTTCATTTACATTTTTGGATCCCAGACAATGCTCCACCTCTTTATTTTTTTAAACACCTATACAATATATATCTGATGGTAAATTTAATAATTTAAAATATGATATAATTATATAATACAAATAGATACGAATAAATATATAAAGATAACACCGTCTAAATTTTTAATAATAAATATATATAGATTTAATGAAACAAAAAAAATTTCATATTTTTATATTGACACGAATTATAATATGTAATTTTAATATAAAGTATGATATAAATACATGAATTTTAATATTTTATATGATATAAATATATGAATAGCTGAATCTATATGATGGATATGACAAATATACTTTTTTTCCATTTTATTTTGTTAAATGATTAGCAATTAGAAACAAAAAATTAAAAGAGTCCAATATTAGACCATGGGATTCAATGGGCCTAAGTTTAGTGTTCTCTAGCCTGAACCTGAATTCAAACAGGCTGAACCCAATTATGAATATGGGCTAGTCCTCTCTTAGTACGAAGACCAGATGGATGTTTAGACCTGCCTTACTATTCTTGGCCCAATCTAGCAAGCCAGTATAGCGGCTTGCTGCTAAGGTCGGGACACAGGGGTGCTACACGAGTGAGTCCCAGCCCATGAGCCGTAACACCTGGAAGGCTGCAACTCCCAACTTTAAATCAGTAGGTAGAAATTAGAATTCATCTTTCAATACATTGATGAGTGGTTGGGATTAATACGGTTAGCATACCAAAGGAGATAAAGAAGAGAAAGGACTTCGAGGTATCTAAACATTAACTTGAGGTCAATGTTTAGCGCATAAGATTATAGATTAAATAGAATGATAATTATTTTATTTTATATTTAAAGAAAGAGATAAAATTATAAAAATAATTAATTATTTTTTTGGTATAAGATAATTTAATTTTTTAAAAAATAATTAAATTAATTTTTTATAATAAAAAATTATTTTTAATTTATGAGGTTAAATATATATGTTTTATTATATTCTTAAAAATTATATCAATAATTTAAATTGTATAAACTTTGGTAAAAAATATCGACTATCTTTTAGATTATTTGGTATATCATTAAAGTTGACATTTGAATATTATAAATTCGAGAGAGTTTAGACGTATAATATTCTTTTCAATAAGGTATGTAGTAAAATAAGTGATTTAATGGTATATTAGAAATTAAAAAAAATTTTGAGAAAGATAATTTGGTTAATAAATAAATTATTTTATTTTAATTTTTACATACATTAAATATAAAATAAAATAATATTATTTAATTTTATTTTATCATAATTTTATATATCAAATACATTCAAAAAATATAATATTATAAATAATTATTCGTTATTTTTTATTCAAAAATTTTTTTTAATCTTTACTTTTCGATTGGACAGACTCATGTATTAATTATTGAGCTAAATGTTCAAATATTAATGTCCGAGTCCACAAGTCGGGTTTGTAATCACTCTTCAAAAATCAAATCCAAATTAGGTAGAGCTTTGACTTCAATGAATTGAATACTTCTAAATTTAAATTTGAAAATTTTAGTGAATCAATGTTCTTTTTTTAATTATTATTATTTTTAAAAAAAATGCAATTTGATAGGGCAAAGATTGAACTCTCATAATGGCATGTGCTAGCATTAAATGAGTTCATAAACATTGTCTGACTTGCCTTTCAAGACCAGGATATTTCCATGGCTTTTGCATCCCCACAGTTGCCCCAGATCATTAAACTTCATAAAACTAGGTAATAATTAGTGGGTTTTTATAAAAATATGAATTTCACATGTTTGTGTGCCTCTTTAATAAACAACAGCAAGGTGACAAAGGAAAAAACATGAAAAAAAATAATAAATAAATTGAGTAAACCCAAGGTTTGAAAACTCGTTTTTCTACATCTTTTTCACAACTTTTGTTTTTTGTTTTTTTGGTGTTTTTGAAAGTTGCATTGAGATTAGTGGTTCCATTGTTCAAAGCTAATTATGAGTTACACTCTTTTCTAAATACTCCACTTGTTTTTGGAGTTTGGGGTTTCATTATTATTGCCCTTTAACCCACAATTTCAGGGTTTAAAGGGGTTTTAAGGCATGCCCCATGGTATGAACAAAAGGGTTTGGTATCCCTATTTACGTAGAACTTTTGCTTAAAGCAAAATTGCATTTTAACCTCTTATTTAACTTGCAAATACCCTAATTATGATTGTAACATCATTTTTACTTATAATTTAAAAAATTAAGAATGCTTAGTAAATAGTATATACATCGCAATAAGTTCCCCCTTATAGTTTCTTTATTTTTTTTAGATAAAGAAAGTTGTAACTTGAAATAGAAGAAGAGGTCGTAGATATTAAAATTTGAATTATAAATCTATAACACATTCACCTTAAGTCTTTAAGAGTGTGTTTGGATGAAAAAATTTAAAAGAATTTTGAAATCCTAGCATTTTAAAATTAATCAATTCAAAAACATAATTTGCAATTAAGTTGTTTGAATAATTAATTTTTAGAAAAAATTTTAAATATTAAAATTTGATGAGTTAAAAAATAATTATAATAAACAAATGATGTTAGAGATAAAAAAAAACAAAATACTTAAAAAATATATGTATTATGGATGTTATTTGATTTATAAAAATGTGTAAATATTATTAATAATATGAAAAATTTTTAAAAATAAAATTTATAATGAGATTTTGTACTTAAAATAAAAAAAAGTTGCATAAAAAAAGGAAATATAATAAATATTGACTTCTTATTATAAAATCAAAGAATTTCACAAATTCTAACTCTTTAAGTGAAATTTAAATGGAGAATTTGAGTCATCCAAAAAATTTTGGCAATTATAATTTTTATTTTATCAAATAAAATAATTCCATTTTAAATTTTTAAATGTTTTTTTACAAATAAAATAATTTTTAAGAATTTCTTGTCCAATTGTACCCTAAATGCAGGAAAATGACAATTTGAGCTAACGCCCAAGCTCTTCATAGTTAATACTCTATCCATCCATACTATATCCCTCAATTCAATATATTTGGGAGGTTGGAATGTTTCTTATCTTTCACCTAATAAAACCTTTTTTTTTTTTAATGAAACTTTTCAAGTTTCACCATTAGTTATCTTCTTATAGAAATAAATTTGTTGGGGAATTGAATAAATAATTTAACAAAAAAATTTTAAATCATTTACATTCACTATACTTATATTTATCAAATTTATTTTAGTTTAGATACATCTCTTGATCGAGTGATTAAAGGAAGAGTTATAACATGATGTAAAGCTTAAATTCGAGTCGAAGTAACCCTAACCCCACCTCTAAATGTTTCTAAAATTTTTGCCATCAATGTTCTATATTATTGTTAACCAACTTTTTTAGATTTATTTGATTATAGATTTCCTTTGTTAAAAAGGCAAAAAAATCATATGCTTTTGATATTTATGCATTAATATTCTTTCATGAGTATGTTCCTTATAAACCATCCAATTATTAAAGCCATATTTGATTCAATTTAGGTTCACCAGTCATTCTCCAACAATTTTGGAAAATATTCTCTTTAATTACATTTCAACAACCTAGGATAACTTGCTAGACTTAGGTTAGTGAAACAAAATTGCTTTCATTATAAGAATAAAATGGATAAGACTTACTTTTCAAGTAACCAAATACAATACTAGAGACATCTTTCTTTAAAAAGAAAAAAAAAAAGAAAGAAAGAACCAAATGCCCAATGAATTTGTTAGTAACATTTTTTTTCTCTAAATATATACTCTTATTTAGAGTGAGGATTTTTATATTTAAAATTATCAAAAATTAAATTCGATCATATTATATGATTGTTGGAGAATATTCAAATACTTATTTTTAATAATAAATATAATTATCATTAAGATAATATTAGTACTCAATAACTCAAATTTTAAGAAAAAATTATTAAAATTTCAAATTCGAGCCTTGCACATGTGAAATTAAATCAATTAAAAATGGTTAAAGGTTATCAAATAAAAGATATAAAAAAGCAAAAGAAAATTTTAATATTTTACTTTGGCACAGAAGATTAAGTAATTTATTTATCTTGAATTTTATTTTTAAATAATATAGTACTAATACAAATTCTTCAATTAATAAAAAAGACAAAGCATCTATTATCTTTAATATTGTACATCTTTACTTATATGAAAAAAACTTATATTTATATTTATAGAAATTATCACATTATAATAAAATTTTTAGATGTCACAAATAACATTATCAACTTGACACATGTCTTATAAAAAAATAATAAAAAAATGTGTAACAATCTCTTAATTTTTTATAAATTAAAAATTTTACTATCAATCTATATAAAAAAAAAAGAACTATTTATATCTATGACTATAATTTTCTTTTCACAAGCTAAGAAATCAAACCCTAAATAAGAACTAACAATTTGTGAGCCATGACCATGATTTTGACAGCAGTGAATTTTTATGTGACTTTAAAATTATTATTATTATTATTATTATTATTATTATTATGGGTTGGAGTAGAAACAAATGAAAAGCCTTTATATTTAGGAAAAGGAACAAAAATTCATAGTTTACAGTTGTATATAAGCATAAAAATGGTGTCCAATCGTGGTCCACTATCAACTTTGGTATATTTTGACAACGATTGTTTATTATAAAACTATATATTATATCATGAAAAATTGCATATATTTTGTGCTATGAATTTTAATTTGTTTTTGTCTTCATATGACTCACGAGATGCATAGTAGAATTTCAACCTCTTGCAATTAAATGTGGGGCTTGTGACTTGGGAACCTTGAAATTTTCAAATTGGCCGGTTCCATAAAAATTAAAAATTACTATGATACTTTAAAAAAAAAAAAAACCTAATTTTTAATGCCACTAGTTAAAAATAAATACCCCCTTCACTAATTAATGTGACATGAAATGATAAAATTATAAATATAGATATTGAATATTATATTTTTATCATTTATTTATACATTTATATTAAATATATTTTTAAAAATAAATATAGATTAAACTCAAAAATTTTCAAATTAGATATTAAAATACTTATTTTTGATTTGATTTATTATTCGAGTAACTCGAACATGAGCTTGATTAATTTTATTCATTTACACTATTATAATCAACTATCTTTCATTATTTGGTAAAATGGGACATTGCACAATTCTGCTATGGAATTTAATCATACTTCACCCAATGAAGACCATAATTGTTCTTCCATGAAAAATCTAGCAAACTAGGTGAGGAAAAAAATGTGAAAGCAATTCTACTTATATTTATTTGTTTCACACATCTTGTGCTTATTCAATTTTCCTTCTATTTAGACTTTTTATTTTTTAAATTGAAACTTTTATATTGCTAAATTAAATTTTACATTTTATTTATATGGTCAAAGTGCAATTTTTATTATTTTATTAGTTGAGATTTTAAGTTTTAACCATAAAGATTGGAACTAAAATTTGATTGAAAATTATTTCCTAACTACCTTGTTTTAATTCAACATATGCATGTCTATTTGCACCAAACAACTTAATTTCTTTAATTTTTCCATTTCACCATTACAAGACAATAGTTGTTTTTTTTTTTTTTCATTTATTTATTTATTTTATTTTCAAAGCATGCCTCCCGTCATACAGTATCACCATGGAACATGGGTTTCTTGTCATGTTATTAATAGCCAAAGAATCTTCATGTCTTGATCAAATTCCATTATTGTAATTGTATATCTATTTTTTTTTCTATTAATGTATTTTCTTTTTCCTTTTATTTTATGGGATTGAATTAATTTTTTTTTTTAATGTCTAGTGCTCTTTTTTTGTCTTTCTTTCTCTTCTTACATGGACAACCATCTCACATTTCATCAGAAAAAGCTGCAAAACATATTTTCATGAGATGATGGCTAAGCTACCATGTATGAACTATCATACAACAGCATGGTACATGAAATACTAGATTGATTTTTTTAAAATTTTTTTAATCTGGGTGTTGCATTGCATCTGTTCTTTTTGATGTTGTTTCTTGTACCAGACATGTTTTAGCTGTTTGAGTTTATCTGAATCCAAACATGGAAATGAAATTGCTGGCAAAGGGAGTTAAATCCAAAACTAGAAAGCAAAGTCAGGTGAAAGAGTTTTAAGCTTTCATGGCAAAAGTAAAGGTGGAGAGTGGTACAACAATTTATTGACAAATATGGGAAATGGAAAAGGGTTGTTGCAGTGGTGAAGAAGAAGGTTGAATCTTTTTTTTTTTTTTTGAGTTGAAGAAGAAAATATGCCAACAGTTTGGTTTTCTTTGAAGAGATCTTTGCACTGTAAATCAGAGCCATCAGATGTTCATGACCCAAAAACCAGGAAGCAATTGAGTACAATATTGACTAGGAAAGCAGGCAGGTCAGGGTGTTCAAGGTCTATAGCAAATCTCAAGGATGTCATTCATGGAAGCAAGAGACATTTGGAGAAGCCGCCAAGTTGCAGTCCAAGATCCATTGGGAGTAGTGAGTTTCTTAACCCAATAACTCATGAAGTTATTCTTAGTAACTCAAGGTGTGAGCTGAAAATCACTGGTTTTGGAGGGTTCCAAGATGGTGTCGGTAATGGTAGTAATAATGGAGCTAACGATGGTGGTGGTGGATCAACTTTTGTTGGTACTTTAAGGCCTGGAACACCAGGGCCTGGAGGCCACCCAACAATGCATTATTTTAATCCTTCTTTAAGGAATACTTCAACTACTCCTCCTAGAAAATCACCTTTTCTTGTATCAGAAAGGGAAAATGCTGGATTTGGTGGTGGAAACGTTCATTCAAGCAATAGAGTTTCTCTTGAGACAGACTCTAATGGATGTTCTACTGTGACTTGTCACAAATGTGGAGAGCAATTTAGCAAATGGGAAGCTGCTGAAACTCACCATCTATCTAAGCATGCTGGTAAGTTCTTTGATAAATTTTGATTCCATGGTTTTAGTTTGTTTCTCTTGGATTTCTTTTTGAAACTTTTGACTTTTCTTTTCCTCCATTGTTTTCTTGTCCTCTCGGTACCAAATCACCCACTTTTCTCTTACCACAAAATTATTGATTACCTTTACCAAATGAACATCCAGGTTCACTTTTACAAGAAAGGTAACTGGTTTCCCTGAGATGGCAGTAAATCACTTTCATGGATTGGATACCTTTTTACTTGCTTTAACCAAATAATTCAAGCTGATTCACTGTGGGGTTTTGTTTTAGAATTGATTTTTCATAATTTGAGTCTATTACTTTCAAGTAGTTTTCATTGCCTGTAATTTTTTTAAGTAGCTTTCCTTATCAGCAGCTAAACATTCTGCTTCTTTGGCAGTTACTGAACTTGTGGAAGGTGACTCATCCAGAAAGATTGTTGAAATTATATGCCGGACAAGTTGGTTAAAGTCTGAGAATCATTGTGGCCGGATAGAAAGAGTTTTGAAAGTTCACAACATGCAAAAAACTCTTGCGCGATTCGAAGAATATAGGGAAACGGTAAAGATTAAAGCAAGCAAACTTCCCAAGAAACATCCTCGATGCATTGCCGATGGAAATGAGCTATTGAGGTTCTATGGCACAACTGTGGCATGTTCTCTTGGTCTAAATGGTTCCTCAAGTCTTTGTATATCTGAAAAATGTTGCGTTTGTCGGATTATTAGAAATGGATTCTCTGCCAAGAAGGAGCTCAAGGAAGGAATTGGTGTTTTCACAACTTCTACAAGTGGAAGAGCTTTTGAGTCTATTCAAATTCTTGAAGATGATCCATCTATAAGGAAAGCTTTGGTAGTTTGCAGAGTAATAGCTGGGAGAGTTCATAAACCTTTGGAGAATATACAAGAAATGGCAGGCCAAACCGGGTTTGATTCATTGGCTGGGAAAGTTGGTCTGTATTCAAATATTGAAGAGCTTTATCTGCTCAATCCTAAAGCTCTCCTTCCTTGTTTTGTGGTCATTTGCAAACCTTGAGGAAAAAATTCAATCGCTTAACTTTAGAAGTTATGACTTGTGAAGTTATGTGAATCGTTTTTCCTTTTCTTGCTAGAGGTTTTCCCTCTTCTTTTTGAAAGATTGGAAATTTTCATGCAATTATATTGCTTCTTCCCTGTTTAAGAATTGTATTGTAGATGAAAAATTCCTGGAAATTTTCATATTCCAAGCTTCATTGCAGCTTTCTCAAATACGTACTTTGGTGATACCTTTCTCAGCCTTTTGGATAAGATGATAAAGATATGCACACATATAGATGCCAATTCAGGATTTGAAGATAGATAAAATTCTGTCCTCAATAGGATTTTTATCACCCAAATATAGTAAAATATTTGGCAACAATTGCTTTTTCCTTGCTATTTTGTGCACTAATATCTGATAAATTCAACTAGATGTCTTTTGGATTAGTTTTGGGTTTTAAGAAACAAAAGTCGGATTAGATTAGACAAGGAATGGAAAGGTTGATAATAATTTGAATAATGACTAAGCACCCAAACTCAGTTGCCTGATTGCTAATATATGCACATGTCAAAGTTTAAACAGAACAAAACCAGCTCTTGTCTTGTTGATTTCATTTCATGAAGTTCTAAATCTACTAAAGAAAATGTAAGAGAACAAGTTTATTAATTACATTAAGTCATGCTCAGATTCCAGTTAATGACAGATGATCCTGACTCAATGGCAATTAGTGATTTAAGAACATGGGACTCTTCTAAGCATGTTTGTGGTTTTCTAGCATGGCAATCTTTGCAAAAAATGAAAAATAATGAATGTTAATGTCCACTAGCTATATCAACTTTGAAATGGCATGTGGTCCTAGTTGGAGGGTAAGGTTTCAAACAATATTTAATCTAACCCAACAGGAAGAAAACCAAGAAGAATTACCATATGTTTGCTGTCCTGGCAGAAAAATTTTGTCCTTTCTGTGCTCATTCCTGTTTAAAGTTTTTAATTGTCAGGTTTGCTTTTACTCTACGGCATATGCACCTTCTAGGTGAATACGGAGTAACTCACAATAAAGATATGGTCAGGGACGCTTCTCTCTCTCTCTCTCTCTCTCTCATTCCCTCTCTTGCATTTCAAACTAGTAAATTCTATTGGTCACTTTAGAAGGATCTTTACAACTTCTACATGAGTATGGATGTTGATTATGTCATTTCCTTACTGCAACATCAGGAATGCTTTTAATGGCTTTCTGGCACATGCATCTCATAAATGTATGCAAACCCTCATTACACTAGTCTGAAAAAAATAAATTCTAGAAATTGAATTCCCATTCAATTTTGAGTCTCAAATATTGGATTGGGATGTAATTTGGAAGCAGATGAACACAAATGAAAGATATTTATTTGGTGTTAACCCTAATCCACAACTGATTTAGACTTTTCACTCGTGTGTTGCCACCTTGCTGAGCCATCATTCTCAGTTGAAGTCAATCTTTTGATAGGTTACAAAATTGTTAGTCATTGAGATTTTGTCCTCTGAAAATATCTTCTGCAGAAACCTCCAGGAGTACTAATGAGTAAAAATACAAAATTTGTCTTGCCTCTCTAACTACTCAACAAAATATCTAACCCAGAACCAGGCTTCTTTACTACTCTCTTAGCTTCTGCTCCCAGGAGTCAACTAACCATATTAATAGGTGTCTAGACTTTTATTGACCCGCAATGGCATGACCTGTTCCAGGCATAGCTGAATAAAAGAATGCAGAATTTTAGAGTTTACTTTCTGACCATCTTAGTTTTTTAGTTCATATTATCATTAAGAGATGGTTGGTGAGAAAATTTAAGTGGACTACAGTATAACTGAAAATGGTCCCAGTCAAGCAAAGATGGATAGAAAAATCTATATAGCAAACCCTGGTCCGTAAAGGAAAAGTTTGTTGAGTTAGTTCAAGAAGTAGCTTTTGCATTAAAGATCCTGATTATATACATTCTGCTACAATTACCAAATTATTGGATAGTTGAATGATTCCTGAGATTATTCCCATAGTTCTTACTATTTCGTTGTAGTTGGCACTAACCTACACCAATTATGCCTTTATTAACTCCAAGAAACAAATAAATCTTCCTCTATATTAATTCTTGTGGCCCATGCTTCAAGTTCCCAAGTCTGCAAGTAGTGTTTTAGACTGCTTAGCCTTCATCAGTCTACATATGATCTCTCAGCATCTCAATTAACTGTCATTTTGACAACAAGTTAGACTAAGTTTGGCATAAGAATATAGGGCAAGTTTGGAGCCGCAATAAGCGCCTTTCCATCTGTTTAATGCCGCATGACAGTTCACGATTTGGTGAACTAGGTCCACGTAGTAGCAAGCATTAATAACTACTATGAATTTTGATTTCTAGGATGCTAGGAACACAACATATGCCTAGCATGGAAAGGCTTTCGGGTCAGTTGAAATTTTCCTGCCACTACCTTCTGGTAGAGGGTAGAAATCCGTAATCTACACGATTAGAATTTGTTTGATGAACTGTATCTTCTATTCCATGCTTGTAAGTGAAGCATAAATCTCTTAGCTTCTTTAAAGAAATCACAGGAAGTTTTGAATCTTTTTTCTCTGCCTCCAACCTGGAAACATACATAAAGAAAAGGGAACATATTGGATTACCAAATTTCATCTCCTAAAGTTGTTGATCAATAGCCTGTATATAAATCTTACCTCTGAATATTTGAACTAGGACACTCTTGAGGAAGGCGATTAATCAGTTCAGACATTGGAGAGCTGCAGACACAGCATATTTATCTACCTTCTACTCTGGCTTGCTCCACAAGGAAAATGTGGGCACTGCATAAATATGTGAACTAAAGCAACTGATCGCATTCTAGCATTCAAAGCTGACAGTATTGAGAAGTACTTGTGAGTTGGGATCAACTGTAGAAATAAGCCAAATATGGAATTTATAACTACCTAGTTTCAATTCTCATCCATTTAATTCTTTAAAAGGAAAGTGTTTTCATATCCATATAACTTATTTTCATATGTTATTTCGATCTGTGTCTACGGACAACGAAAATGTTTCAATGATATGAGAAGAGACGAGATGGACTAGCAGCATTTCAAGCCAGTTGGAAAGTACACCATTATTAATCCCTTGGGCTTAGAGCCTTAAAGTATGACCAGATGTGGCCTCTGCCTATGACATCTAACAAGTTTCTTGAGATGATCATGGATTGTTAAGAACAACAAGCTTTGAAGTTTATGCCCCTTTCATCATCCAGTCCCTGGACAATGTGACAATCTACCCTGGACTCTGAATGAAGCTAATGAACTCTCTGATTGGGTTAAGTACAATTGAAAATAACTTTCATATTTAGTCTACACATTGGATTGCCATACAGTATAATCATAGATCAACAGAGATATTTACTGCTGGCAAAAAGAATCAGACTTACAAATCGGCATGTTTAAAGTAATTGGAGAAAAAACATGGAAGTGAACAGAGAATAACATCTAGATTTCCAGAAGCCACATTAAATTTTGAAGTTACGAGTTTAGGTTCTAAGAGACGGCAGAAGCAGCCATGACTTCAGTTTTCTCTCTTCCAGCTTCCTTCAGTTTCTTCCAGTTTTCATCACTGTCGATGATTTCTCCAGTCTTTATGAGGTAGCGGACCTTTTTCCCATTATCTAACACTTTATGACCCACCCGACTAGTGACATCTTGTTCTTTAGAATAAAGCATCACGTTTGAGCTGTGAATAGGCGCTTCAATCTGGAAACCCGCAATTAAAACACTTAAACAGGCAAATGAGATAAACATACATACAGGCAGAGAATAAAAGGATATTTTCATTTATGTATTCTTGCACACCAAAAATGTATGTAGCTTTCCGCGAACCATATCCATAGTCTAAAAAACTAGAATAAGGAATGCAGAGAAACGAACTCCTATCAATGCCATGAAGGGAAAAGAAACAAACAGACTCCTATAGATTAACATAAGAAAGATATATAACAAACAGATCATAATATCATGAAACAAGGCATGGCCACTTTCCAAAATGTAGGATATAAAAAAGCAGAACTTCGTTTCTTTTTGAAAGTAAAATTGAACAGTATAAACGACCTTAATTATCTGTCCTGGTTGACCCTCTTCTCTGCTCTTCATATGCTTAGTCTTCAGGTTTATATCTTTCACTACAATGGTGCTGTTATGCTTAAAGATCTCGGTTATCTCTCCAATTTTGCCCTTATCACGGCCTGATATTACTTTAATGGTATCTCCAACCTTAACATGCATTTTATGTAAAACCGGAAGGCTGTTTGGCTTACATTTCTTCCGTTCCCAATGTTTAAGCTGCAAGGTACAGGGAAAAGAACAAGGAATGGCAAATACCATGGAAAAGTAAACACGTCAGACATAGCAAAACAAGTACTCCCACAATAATACTCTTTTCAAAGAGAATGTAGAATTCACAATAAGGCTTGAATTTACTGACATAGAGCTCATCTGTTAAGCTCACAATGCATTTATTAGCATGAACAGACAAGTAATTTGAGTTAGGCAATCTAAAATTCGTATGAATGTATATCCCTCATGATAATCAATGGAAGAAATCAAATATCTTCCCTCTGGAAAGTCCACAATCAACCAGTTTAATAGGCATGTGTTATAGCCACAAAACTCTAATGCTATATCCAGTAGGAAGGAAAGAAGAAGGAAAGAGGATGGAGGGAAAAACTACTTTCTTTCCATCCTTTTCTTTTGTTTGTAAGTTAATCAAAAGGCAGCCGTGAGTATTTCCGCTCTACTGTTTCTATGCTTCATGCTTCTCTCTCATTACACAGATATTTTGGTTAAATATGAAACGAATTGCATGACAAAAAGGAAGCAGAATAGCAACCTTCACTACAATAACAAATGGATTCTCTCTTGGCTTGACCTGCACGCAATAAAAACAGTGAATTATTATCAAAATTTCCAGCAATCACTATTTCATTATGGATGCTGTACAGTGAGTCAAACTGTAGTTTAATAGTAATGACATGGAAATAGAGCTCAGCTGTCACTAATAATAATCTAGATCTTAACAAATGTTCTAAACTTCTGAATGCAAAGATGAACACAATGTTTCATACCAACTGTAAACTAAATAAAGCACACTCGCATTTCATTTCTTTTTCATCTCTTATAGGCACAAAATCATGCACATAAAAGCCAACAAGAAATCAAAATTATAAGCAATTGAGGTTGTCAATTAACGACATTCTTGACTTTGCAATTTTGAAGTACAGATATAACCAACGGAAACCTAATAAATCAAAAAGACTCTAAACAAGGGCCTAAATATTCATCAATCTTAAAAAGCATAACTTATAGGCCCATAACCACTGGTACACTAGTCACAAAAAAGAACAAAAATGCAAACACTTGAAAATGATCTAATCATTTTCCCTTAGATATAAAAGAAGAAATTTAATACATTGTGGAGATTTGCATTGACAAGAACATAAGTTACCTAACAAACAACCTACGGCAAGTTTATCATAATTGGATAAAGATAGTAATAAATTTCCCTTCTAAAGCCTCAAATCCATCTTATAACAAATGGACTCAATATATGCATCATTCCAATGACTTAGCAAAGCATTTATAAAATTTAATCTCGTTATTTGAAAAAGAAAAGAAAAAACCTGCTTTATGCAACACTATCTAGTTAAGCTTAAATTTACCCAAATTAACAAACAAACAGAAATGAATCTCATTAAAAAAAGGGAACCATTTGAGTATCATTAAAACATTTCAATCAACGCAGAGAAAAACTGAATAATACAATAAATTATATAGCTTTTAACTATAAAAAAGTTGGTTCTTTTAAAACCAAAAGAATAAAGGAAGCTGCTTTAGTCTTAAACCAAAACAACTAAGGAAAAAAAACTGCGAAAAGATTGAAATTCATGAAATACCCATTTCCATATAACCTCCAAAGAATTGAAAAAAAAAAAAAGGAAAACGTGTAAATTAGAGCCAAAAAATGAGGTAAAAGAATTGATGGAATTCAAGGAAACACAAGGAAGAGAACGTACATGAAGAGGGGAGAGAGAAGGAGGGATTGAGAGACGTTGGCCCAAGAAGGAGTTTGAAGAAAGAGAAAGAGCAGTCATTGAGCTTTGCAGCGCAGCCATGGCTGCCATTGTTTTGCCTTCTTCAACGGTTCAGTAAATCGAGTGGTCGAGACCTGCTCTTTCGATGATGACGATAAAATAAAGGGTACGTGGATAACAAAGGCTAGTTAGTATCTAAAACGACAGCGTTTAGCTTGTGCATAAAATTTTGGGCCCAAAATGGGCTTTGGGCTTAAAACTTTAAAGCCTTTTTTCTACTAAAAAATATTTTTAGGGCTTTATTATGCTTTTTTATATTAATTTTTTATCACCAAATTGTTTTTTTTTTTTTATTTAGACTTATGGACTACTCATTTTATAAACTTTCATTACAATCCATTACTAAAACCTGACACCCTAACATTTGACCTACAATCTTCTTACTCAAATAGCAAGTTGGAATTTCCTTTCCCCATTTTTAAAAAATTTCTCAAACCACTAGAAAAGATGAATCGAAATATGCAAAGAATCAACTGGTTTTAATTTTTATTATTTTTGGAAATTATGTCAAACTCGATGGTCATATATTCGAGTTGTAAAAATAATCTCTTGCAAAAATACAAAAAACAAAAGACTACATACACTAAATCCTTCTCCGAACCCACACATAGTGAGAATGCTTTGCCCACCGAGCTGCTCTTTTTATGTCAAAAACCTACTAGGTTTGGTGAAGTTTAATGCAAAGAAAAACAATTTCAGAAAGACATTATCTATGCTTTCATTCATTTTCATTTCTATTGTATTAATATACAAAAATTAAATCAGCAAAACAAATGAGGCTAACTATGTTACACCAAATTAATAACAATCCTTTTTACCCTAAACCCACTCAAAAGACAGCTCAAATGCTACAAACAAACCTGCTTTTGCTTGACATATATCACAAAACAAAGACAAAACCAAGAAATTTTTAACAAATTAACAAATGGAAGAACCATTGACTATATTTCAAATGTGTCAGCTGCGCTGTCCATGGACTCGTCTCTCTGGTGTTCAGTTATCGGTATCTTAGTTTCGCCTTGCTCTAAGTCAACTGAAACCTCATCTGCAGTGGCAGATGAAGACTTCTGATGCTTCTTGCTGTGTCTCATTTTAAGGATTCGTGTTAGAACTTGCACGATGTCCCTCATGGAAGGTCGTTTTTTGGGGACTCGGTTGACACATTTATACGCAAGAGCTGCTACTTCGTTGAGCTCTTGCACATCAAATTTCCCGTCTAATCGTGAATCTACAATTTCCTCCCACCCAACTTTCCCTTCGGTACTCATAGCTGCCTGTTTGTCATATCACTTATATATTCAGAACAACATGGATATAAGCTTGACTTAAAGAGAGAAAGTGAAAGAGAGATCTTACTAGCTCAACATATTCCATGAGACCCTGTAAAGGATTTCTGCCAGCTATGAGTTCAAAGAGCAACACCCCGAAGCTGTAAACATCACTTTTCTTAGTAAAGTTCCTTGTAGATATGTACTCTGGATCAAGATATCCAAACGTTCCTCGTACATTAGCTGCGTGTTTGTCTACCATCTCTTCTCTTGAGAGCCCGAAATCAGCTACCTGCTTGAGATGGCAGTCCCATAAGATTAAGCCATATATCATGATGTACAAAAATATAACAATGGCAATTTAAAATTATCAATAACCAAGAACATACCCTGGCTCTCATGGACTGATCCAACAGAATATTGGATGACTTAATGTCCCGGTGTATTACAGGAGGAACTGCCTAAAAAAATAAATATGAAGAAATTTACAGATTTTTACCATAAGCATAATGCACGCACATGAATCTGCCATACATGCCTGCAAAGACAGACATGTCCACATACAGTCCAAATAAGAAATATTACCCCGTCATGAAGATATTCCAAGCCCCTTGCTACATCTAAAGCGATATAAACCCTCAAATTCCAGCTCAGAGGTTCATGATTTTCACCTGCAGAAAGATGAAATGCGGTTTTCAATAGAAACTAGTGTATACAAAATTGAATTTTCAAAGAGCAGGCATCTACAAGTGCCTCCGAAATCATAATTTCTTGATACGCTTATAGTACAAAGCTAATTGTAATCTGATGCATACTAGTTTTCACCGTATCAACTCATTTGCATAATTAAAGCACGTAGAGCATTGATGACAGCATACTACTAGCAAGGTTGGCCATATTGTTAATAGAGTTTTCAGCAATGACATGATAATCAATGGCTCAATGAAATAGAAGCAAAAAGATACATTTGCGTTCTAAAAAACGAGCTTATCATAGATTCAACATGTAGAGCAGCAGAAAATACAAGGTAGCTCCAGACCATTGAATGCCAAAGATCCAAAAAAAGCTTTGTTTTACAAAGAAGTTAACCTATAGAAGAGTAAGACCAGCCGATATACAAGTCCATGGTATAATATTTCAGTTTTGGTCATTCATAATATACTGATCTTCTACCGAGGGAGTTGGCAGCCTACTTACTGTACAAATGAGAAGCCAAACTGCCTTTACTCATATACACATAGACAAGCATATGCTGACCCTTTTCTGCACAATATCCAACCAAATTTACAAGGTTCCTGTGATGCAGCCTTCCCAACAACATAACCTGAAATGTTAAGAGGGTGAAATATTAACAAGCTGGAGACAGCAGGAAGGAACAAAAAGAAAAGCAGACACACACACACACAGAGAAAACACAGAGAAATGCGATCAGTAAAGGCATGTTAAAAAAAGGCAAATAATAAGTTGGGTAAAAGGTTGTGAATGACTTTGATTGGCTAATCAAGTTTTTCCCTGAATTTCATGTAGTCAAATGCTTTTGATGAGAAAATTTTCTAGTCAACATGATGTTCCAAGCGTTCATTGTTTTGTTTACCTCATTCCCTTAAAAGAAAAACCTCGTAACTCTTATCATTCACTTATCTACTTCTGCTCTCAGTTTTTGCTTATAGAAAAAGCAGAAATAGAACTTAGCGTAATATTCTTCCTTGGATGCTAAGTTGTGTTCATCTCTTAAGAAACTAGAAAGCATGCCAAGCCATGGTAACAAGAAAAAGGAATTCTAAAGTGACGGTATCTTGAAAAAACCAAGAATACTACTATTTTACAAATGTTTATGCAAACCTAATTAGGAATAGATAAATCTTGCCATTAAAATATAACATCCCTACCTCTGTCTGGAACTCTTTCTCCCCTTGTTTAGAATCAGTTGCAAGCACTTTCACGGCAACAGTCTCACCAGTTGACATCTGAGCTTTATAAACTGGACCAAAGGCTCCTTGTCCTATTAATGTTGTAAAATTATAGGTTGCTTTTTGCAAATCCCTGAGTTAGTAACGCCATCAACAAATTAGCAAAGAAAAATCAAGGGAAAAGTTCAGGAAAAATACACAAATTCAAGCCACAAACCACCCAACTATAGTGCTATACTACTAGTTTGCTATAACATGAATGAAAGTATTAAAGGCTCAAACATGTTCTTAAATTCAAGCCATTAGCTTGATTTTAGAGATATTAATTGCCCGATATTTAAAAAGTATTGAACTGCAAGAATCCAGTTAGTTTCTTATCAAGAATGCCCACTTTTACTGAAAAACAAACAACTTCACAGATTCCAAAACTGGAAAATCTTGAAAAGTTCATATCATGCTATCTACCTTGAGACACAAATACAAGACAAGATAACATTAAGCAAACTTTATTCAAGAGTGGACCAAAAAAATAATTTCCCATAACCATTATATCATTATTATATCACATGGATAACAATACAAACCAGTCACCAACACATCTATCATAATCGCATATAAAAACTAAAGAACAATATTCGCTAAAATCTACTACTCAAATGATCAACTACAATCATGCATAATTGAACAAGTTAAAAAAAAAAAACATACTTGTATGAATACTCGGGTATTCCAGACATGGAGACAACATTACTCCTTCTAAAACCTTCAAGCCACATAGACATTCCATTTCTTCCAGATTTCACAGGTGACTCAGGAGCAAGAGTCGAATCTGATAATATAGTACAAGAATCAGCTCCATTAGCCCTGATGGGAATAGTTGAAGCTCTCCTGGAGCTGCTGTTTCCTATCTGGGATCTCTTCCTATGATATCTTATACAAAACAGTGCAAAAATAGCTAAAAGCACACCGATCACAACTCCTATAGAAATCCCAATGATCAAACCAGTTGACTCCCCCCTCATCTCCACTCCCTCTTTTGCTATTTGCTATTCAAGCCTCCAGTCCATCGAAACAACTGCAAATACAATTCTGGGGTCAAATTAAGCCAATTCTAAACTACCACCAAATTGACATTAATAAAAGAAAAAGTAAAAAACTTTAATACAATTCTCAGTCAGTCAAACAATGTTAATTTCATCAAAAGTAGAAGGTCAAGTCCAGAACTTTCATGTCATTTTTCACAGCAAATGAAATAAAAGTCAAAGTTGAGAAACATGACAAAAAGAACAAAATTTTCGTCTACTATCTGAATAGTCTCATACCAAAAACTGATCAAATTCACATAATTGTAAAAACAAACGGATTGAACAGACCCCAAGAAACAAAATTCAGTAAAAAGAAAATTAATAATGTAACTAAAGCTTGAGAAGAAAATATAGTTGATCTGATTAGCATTCATAAACTTATTAATTAAACATTTATGAGTCAAAAACTGAAACTTTTTGCTGATTATAGATTAAAGAACAAGAATTATAATACTGATCTGTTTGGTTACTAAGAAAAAAAAAAGAAACAGGAAAACCAAAAGAAAAAAAGAAAAAGAAAAAGAGTTTATGAACTCCAAAAGACTTTCAAGAAAGCAAAGAGCTTTTGAGTAAAACCAATAAGTTTCTTCAACTTTCAGTTCCAAGTTCTCTTTCTTAATCTTTCTCACCAACCAAACAGAGTACAAAGCAAGAAAAAAAGACCCAGAAAAGTTTTAACCCATGAAACATGAAAACAAGGCCAGATACGAAAAACCCAGAAATTGTTTCCCATAGAAAAAAGTGAAACGAAATCCATTGAAGAAGAAATAAACCAAAAATCAACCTTTATCAATACACAAAGAAAAAAAAAACCATACATTTCTTCAGTTACATGGTTTCTTTGGAGCAAAGAAGAAAAGAGAAAACAGCAATGAAAATGTTGAGAAGAAAATTCTTTGAGTGGGATTTAAAAGAAAGAATCTGAGGCTTGAAGACAGAGGAGAGAGGTTTTTGAAAGTAGAAAAAAAAACCACTTGAATTATTTTTGGAGTATTTACAGAGAATTTTTTTTATTTTAAATTATAGAAATACGTGAGTCGCCGTTCGTACAATAAACGCGGGACTCCATGGCAGGAGAAGTATTTTTTGGTTGCCAAACATGGCCTTTTGTTTTTTTGAATTTGACCTTCTTTTAGAAATAAAATGAAATTTTGGACACTTTTTTTTTTATACAATTTTACTCCATCTTTAATTGTTTGCTTCCAAATATAAATTTTAAAAATAGTAAATTATTAGTACATTTTATTTCTAAAAATAGAAAAAAATAATTAGTATATATAGATTAGCATTATTAACATGTTATATAGAAGATTTTTTGTATTTGTTTTTTTAATTAGTGAAATTAATATATTAAATGAAAAAATATTTTATTAAAATAATTTCAAATTGAACCTCCACCTTTTAACTTTAAAAAATTTAATATAAAAAAATTAAAACTAAATGTTTGTAATTTTCTATATAAATCATTAGTTTTGCATGTGTTAATTCATAATTCCTAAAATGATTCAAGTGTTCATCAATCTCAATCACAAAGACATGAATTATATGAGTTTGAAATTTGTGATAGCTCATGACATGTACATGTTGGTTTATAAATTAATATTTTTTTTATATCCTTTATGATGTTACAAAAATAACAAAAATAACTTCAATAAGTTATCAAATGCTAAATGAAGTAATAAATTGATGATAAAAGAATTTATTGTATTCATGTCAATGGATCAATGGAAATAGAATTAAATGAGTTACTATATATAACATTGTAATTATAAGTATAATATTTTTTTGAGTAGGGATTCACTTATATTATTTTAGATTCTTAGATCAAAATTAAATCTATAATTTATTTGAATCAAAATAATATTTTTAAATTTAATAATTTTGATAAAAAAATTTAAAAAATAAGAATTATAATAGTACGTGAATTTCTTATTATTTTCTCTATTATATTTTTATATTAATCTATATCTAAATAAATGAAATGAGAGTTCATTCAATAACAAGATTAAATGTAACGAAAATGCATTCTCATCGTATTCGAATTGCATTTGATTTCCAAAATTCACTAATTAATTATACTTATAATGGTTTTTGAATCAAACTAGATTTTAGTGTGATGAGAATGAATCTCTTTTGCATCAGAACTTGTTGTTGAACAATGCATGTGTTCTTCTAATTTGGTTTCTATTCAAATCATATAGAAAAATAAAGCCTATTATTATATTCTAATATTAACCCAAAAAATGAGGAAAGTAAAATTAAAAAAAAAAAAAAGGAGAAAACAAGGAATACCCTTTAAAGTTAAGGCATACTGGTGAGTTGGTCCAAAGGAGTATAGGGCAGACTGGCTTCTAGGTGTGACCTCACCTCACCTTACCATGCCAAGACCGAGAGTGGAATTGAAGCTTGGTAACCGAACCCCCTCTCATTAGGCAAACAAAATTTTGAAGTCGCCTTTGGTTTTGCTAATTTCCAATTTAAGCGCACCCATTGGGCCATATTTACCTTATTTCTTATCCATTTTAAAGAGTCAAAATACAAAATTTTATTTTTAAGTCTCAACAAATATATTTTTTCTTTGAAAAAATATAATATTCAATATCTAAAATAATTAACAAGATTATTTTTAATGAATTATTATTTAAATTTAATATCTCATTTTAAATTATGGATTCATTTTCAAATGAGTTCATTCACTTTCGTTCTATGCCTAAAACAAGCTTTTATTGCAAGATTATATATACTGTTAAATAGTGATAGAAAAAATTATGCTTAAACAATATAAATGTTTATTTTGAAAGAAAGAGATTCAAACTCGCTTTTTAAATTAAAAATAAATACATATTTATCATTAAATCAAATGTTCGATTATATAAATATTTCATTTATAAAACATTTGCCATTGTTATTTATATAAAATAAATGTGATCCAAAATTTAAGATGCATCATCAGAAAGGATGGAAAAGGATGTTTCTGAATTTAGTTTCACTGAACCTTGAAAATTTTGTTGACATTAGTTTCACTAAACCTGATAGCCAAAAAAGTGAAGTAGTTGTTGATTTTTGAGAGAGTTGCCCCATATACTGATATAGAAGGCAGTGGGTAACAGTCAACCTAACACACCTAATCTCAAAGGAAAGATTAAAATCCATTTATATATATATATATATATATATGAAGGGATTTTTGTTTTTGTTTTGTTTTTGAGTAACAAATAGGTTAACCCAACATCTTACCTTTGATGAAAATGACTTTAATCCTAGTCATTAAAATCAAAGATTATGACATTTGGGTTTAAATTCAAAGATAATGATAATCATAAATAATAATAATAATCTTATTAATCTTCAACTACCCTACTTCATTCATTCATGGCAAGACCTAGGTAAATCAAAATCTAAACCATTAAACTGCCTCCCATGAATTCCATTATTGTTCAAAATAAATTCTCTACCAAATTTTTGCAACATAATTATACAAATCAAATATCCAAATTTATGAATTTAGGCTTAATTTAATAGGTTTATTCACTCTTTTTTAATAAGTGACATTTAGTAAATTTAAAATTTAAATTTTAACATTTGTAACTATTTTTTATATTCTTAGATTGAGATTTCATATATATAAAAAATACGAACATTATATTATATATATATGGCGGTTGTATTTTGACAATTTATATTAGAAGAAAAAAAGGGTTTTGAAAAGAACTTTGCCAAAAAAAATAAATGTAGAAGGTGATTGTCACGATTGACTTAATTTAATAACCTGTAAAATTGAACAAAATATTATAATATGAACGTATGAAGTTGTGGGAGAGGCTACATCACACATTTTAAAAATGCTAAGTTTCCAACCATGACACATGACATGAGGGATTAATTTAGACTTATAATACAATGACATGAAATTAGTAGAAGAATGTTTTTTAAGAGGTTACCAAACAATGCTTCAACCAAAAAAAAAAAAAAATCCAAAACAAATTAATAAGTAGTAATTAAAATTATGAATGAGAATTTTCCTTCAATCTAGGAGCAGAATTTTTCTTCCCAAAGAAAATATATATGTTGGAATTTATATAATACTTAAAATTGTTAAAATTTAAAATTTTGATCATTAAAATTAAATTTTTTTTATTACATCAAGGTAAATCTCTAATGCAAGTAAAAGAGAGAAAAAAAATTTGATTCGAAATCAGACTCTTGATGTCTTCTCAATCGTCTTTAACCATTAAATTAAAAGCTTGAGAACAAAAATTTAATACTTTATTTACGAATAACGGAATTATATAATACGATTATTTTAACGGCCAACATCCATAGATGGTATTGGCTAGTATTGTTTTTTAAATAAAGGGTTGAATACTGGGAAAAGCTTATTGAAAGAGGAAAATATTTGGATCATATCCTTTTACCTTACCAACTCCAACAAGATTAAAGCACATTTGATTAATACAAAGAAACGGTCAAATGAGCCAAGACACGTTTTTAAAAGGTGCTTTAGTCTTGTAGGAAACGTTAGCATTTGTCTCCTCCTACAACTGGAAAGGCCCCAAAAACAAAATTTTAACATTGCTCACTGTTCGCTTTACAAATCACTATTATTATTCTTTTATTTCTTAGATTAGTTTTGACTTTAGGGTTTAAACCCCTTATTTTATTTTTTCTTAATTTAGCTATCACTTTCAAATATAGTTTTATTTTTTTTTATTTATATACATATGATAATAAAAACTCCATTTCATAAACCCATATCATTTCTTTTTTAAGATTCGACTCAAATTTTTTAGTACTAAAATTTTGTATTTTGAACCCAAAATTTAATTTAATTAATTCATATAATCATTTTTAAAAAATAATATTTTTTAAGTCGTGGTTTAAATTTTAATATTTGTAATATATTCTTCTTCCTTAATTTGGGACTTTTTTTTGTAAAAAAAAAAGAAAAGAAATATTCTTAACTCATTAGGGTGTTCCATTAAATTGTCCTTGGACATATCTATATTGGTTTATGCATGCCTTTAAATTTATTTGGTAAAGATGTTTTTGAGACATTTTCCCTTTTTTTCTATCCCATGTATCGAAAAATCTATATGGAAATTTTTTCTATCCCACGTTCACAAAATGTTCAACATATCATGTTAATAGGGGTCAAATAATGTTGGATTTTGTAAGCATTGATTTGTGGCTGTGCTGTTGGCTGTTGCCACTCTCATTCATCAACTAATCAAATTTCATTACTAGCATTATCTCTATTATAGCTTGCTTTAACATAAAGGTAAACATGTGTTGAAAATTGCATTTATCTTAGATTGATGCTAGATTTTAACTACTCTTAATTAAATAAAAATGACATGCGTTTCAAATATTTATTGGTCCATCATTATTTTAAAACAAAGACAATTAATATGCATTTGTCTTAATGAAAATGTTTCATTTATTTTAAAAAATGATGTACTTATCAATTGTTATCGAAAATATATCAAATGATTGTTTGTAATTAAGACAATTCCTCATAATTGATAAATATGTGTATGATCATTTCTCCCCTATTTTTGAAAAACCCTTTTTTACTCTCCTAATAAGGTCTTTAAAAAATATTATGATTTGTCCTTTAATTAAAAAAAAAAAACATATTGCTATCTAATAATTTGGATATAAAAATCATGAAAATCCTTTAATCTTGGTTGCAAAATGATGATAAATGGTCCATATATATATGCAATTTATCTTAAACAATTAAAATAATTGTTTAATTTTTAAATATATTTTATCCCCCAACCATATGAAAATCATAAATTATTTTTTGATCTTCCACTTTTTTTTTTCATTTAGGGTTTCACGTCCTTGCAGTGGATCAGCAATAAAGTATGTCACTCTCATAGCATGATGTAATGCATATATTCAATTCCATTCATTATGTCCCAATTGATTGTTCTCACGTTCCCTTGGAGGCAAAGATAACCCACCATTTTCACTCATTTCCCTTTCTTTTTTTAATGTATTTTTGG